ATGGTGAGCTCGTGTGGTGTCTTATTGATTAATAATAAATATTGGTTAAATGAGAGAATATTTAGGTGTCACTTGTAACAGCAAAACAAATGGAAAATGGCAAAATCAACTGCTGGCACAGTTAGAAGGCATTTTATTTTCTGGTGTGTAGAACAGAAGTCCTTGTTAGATCAGCTAATCTAATAAGCAGAGAAAAAGAATGGTCTCTTGAAATTCTGCATTCACCTTCTGTTTGCATTTGCTGACATAAAGAATACATCTAATTGGATTTTCTCCTTGGGGAAATCTAAAGGAAACGAGTCCATTGCCGTCACATTTCCAATAGGCCGTTGTCCCCCACCTCTCTCAGTTTTCTCAAGGAGCCTGTGACTTCCAGCTTCTTTTAAGTTACACCCGCATCTTAGAGAGCCTCAACTAAGCACCTTCTCATTTTCATCCATGGCTCCTTGGCAAGTCATGGCACCTGAGAAGGATATGAGACGCATTCCACGGGGTTGGGAGGGGATAGCTGTGGACGAAAAGGGCATGTGCCTGCAGCGTTCTCCTCAAATTCATCCCTCCATCCATCCCTCCATCCATTATTCCACTCAACACGTGTTTATCCAGCGCTTGGCAGGGCACCTGCAGCAGGCACTCAGTAAATCTCTCTCGCCCAGCTTGTCAAGGTAGCACCACACAGTGGGTTAGAGGGCAAGTTCTAAAGCAAACCCCTGCACCCTGGTGCTGCCATATGTGGTGTGACCGTGGGCGGTCACTTAACCTCCCTGCATCTCAGTTTCCCTGTTTAAACTGGGGTAAAAATAGTATCTAACCCACAAAGCCAGATACTAGATACCATCAGAATTAAATGAGATACATATGAAGGGCTTCGCACAGTGCCTGGGCTGGGGGTGGGGCCCCAGTGATGAGCCAAGAGCCCTCCTGTGACTTACATTCTTGAGGGGGAGACAGACAAATAATTAAACAGATAAATAAATAAGATAGGAAACCAAAGGGGTTCTATGATGTGGGGAACGGTGGTGATGGCGGCCGCTTTAGGTAAGATGATCAGGAGAGCCCCCTCTGGGAAGATATTTAAACTAATACCTGAAGGGTGAAAAGGAGCCAGCCCCATGAAAAGCCATGTGGAGAATATTCCAAGCATAGCAATTGCAAAGGCTCTAAGTGGGATAGGGTGTAGAATGTTCTAGGATGAGCCAGAAGGCAGCATTGGTTAGGGTAGAATGAGCCACAGGGAAAGTGGGCACGATGCATTGAGACGGTAAGGTTGTGAGCATCTGGGAGACCATGGAATGCACTGGGATTTCATTCCAAATGTGTTGGGAAGGCAGTGAAGGATTTTAAGCAGGAGGGTAGCTTGACCTCAAAGTGGGACCTGGACAGCTCCATCACTGCCCTGGGCTCTTCACAGCCTGAGGCAAATGTGAGGTGGACCGTCCAGCACTGAGAGCAAATGGGAGTGGGGAAAGGATAGGTTGTGTTCCGCAGTGTGTGGACCATGGATACCCAGTTTCAGGAGCCCTCGCTGTGGAAGCACAGACCTATGGGATTGAGTGTTGGAGAGGGTCCTCAGAGGCCACGCCATCTGCTCCTGCTGTCTCTTCTCCCAGTGTATCACGTGAAACTGAGGCTTGAGAAAGCTCTGGATTTTCTGAGCTCACAGTGCTGGGGCTGATACTCAGAGCCCGAGTGCCTGTTCTCACCGAGTGCCCTCCCTCAGCGCCCTGTGAGAGGACATGACATGCACAAATGGCCTTACTGCATCTGAGCTGTACGTCAGCATTTCTTCTCCAGACGCGGAGAAAAACTCAAAAAGGAGCACATCATCAGTGTCTTAGCTGTAGGGGGACAGGCGGACTGGACTCAGGAGCCCCGGCTTCAGCCTCTTTCAATAAGAGGAAACGAGTGACAGTGCTTAAGAACCCTCTAGAGCTCAAAGGATGACTGTGGTTGTATTTCTGTTTAGCTTAAGTGACATTTGGACAACAATGAAAAGCTGTAGGTCTTTTTAGGCAGAAATTTTCATGGGTCTTTCTATTACTGTACTGTCACATTTTAAAACCTTATAATTAATTTTACTGCTGTTAAACCCCCAAATTCCTCTTGTCCTCAAGTTTGCTGACTGTCATCTACCAAAAGCTCTTCCTCGCCCCTCCCCAGCTTTCCTGGCAGATTTTCCATATCTCCCATACATGAAACAAGTCTTCTCCTTGGACATCCATCTAAACTAGCTTTTAGTTAGAAAACCAAAAAATTATCTCTTTGTTCTACAGATTCCTGGGTGAGTTACTCCTGTTAGTATTAGATATTCATATACCTTGTTCGTTTGGAATAAGGATCCAGCATTGTTGAGCATTTACTAAGTTACTAAATAATTACTAAATTAATAAAATATGAGATAAGTAAAATAATAAAATTATTAATAAATAGTAAATAATATAAGTAGTAATAATATAATTCCAATTATGTTAAATTTTTCTTTTTCTCCTTTCTCTGTGATCGTAAAGATGACCAAGCCCCTTCCTTCATCAAGACCACTGAGGCCATTACGAGTCCTGCCTCCCACAGGCCGTAGCTCCTGCTGCCTCCTCGGCATTACCTGTGCTCTGTACATCCTTCTGCCTGCCCCTCTGCCCCCTGCCCCTCTCTGTCCCCATTTCTCCAGCCTGTCCCTTTAGATGACCACTCCCCTCAGGTTGCAGCCTCTTGACTTCACATCCCACCTCTCTGCTTCCCTTCAGAACTACCTCCTGGAAAGATTCATTGACCTCCCCTGTCCCTTTCTCCCTCGTCCACCCCTGCAGCTGCCCCTGCAAGGTCACCGGCCTCCCACCCTTTCCAGAGCTCTCTGCCGTGTGAAGGACAACCACCACTGCCTTCTCCAAACTCCTCGTCTCGGGCCTCAGGGGCCTCCCCCACCTGCCCCTGCCAGCTTTCCCTTCCGCTGCTCCTGACCCTCCTGGCAGGGCTTCAGTCCCCCTGGCAATGAGCATGCCTGGGGGATGGGGGCACGAGGGGAGGGGTCGTCCTGTGACAGTTCGGAGGAGGGATGCATAGAAGATGGGGATTTGAGGCCAGAAGCCAAGAGGGAGGTTACCCTCCTGCAGCATGATTTGTGTACCCCTGAGCAGAGTGGAGAGTGAGGGGTGCGGGAGAGTCCGTGGCGTTTGTCAGTGAGTGTGAGAGAGTGTCTGTGTGTTATGTTTTTGGCACACTCTTCTCAAACACTTGCTGTTAAGTAGAGCACAACTCAGGCCCCTGTGAGGATCTAACTGATTTAAAACAGGCATACCCTAAGTCTACTGACATCCGTGTAAAACTGGGAGAGTCGTCTCAATCCTGGACTTGGCTGGGAATTCCGACTATCAGGAAAGTGTCTCTCGTCTGTTACATGTGCAGCTTTCCCACCTCTGTTCCTTCCCTCCATATTTATCAGGACTCTGATTGCAAAACCCAACTCTAACCAGCTGAAGCAGGAGAGAGAGGTTTACTGAGGAAGAGGAGAGGGAAATGGGTCCCTGGGGCACCTCCTTTCTGCCCTTTGTCACAGCCGAATGGTGGCTGAGTTTTCCCTGGGCAGCATCCTCCTGAATCTAGGGAGCAGGGGAGCAGGCTGAAGCTTTGAGAACAAAGAGGAAAGAGCTCTCCCCTGGAAGCCCCACTCCAAGCAGGCTGTAGGAAAGAGTTGTGACTGGTTAGCTTGTCCAGGTTCATCTCTGGACCGGAGGTGGAGCGACCCCCAGCAGAACCAAATAGTGTGAAGCGCCTTCTCTGAAGACAGGGGAGGGCGGACAGCAGCATCTCTGTTGACGGCGCCTCCTGCAGAATCCAGTATTTAAAACAACTCTCAGCTCCTTATTGCCCAGATAGATACAACCCAGGCTCCGTGTAGGGCCCTTCCTTGTCTCACAGCAACCTGGCTCTCCAGATTCCAGACCCTCAGGTCTCCTGGTTCTGCCACCCTCTGCCTGGAGCTCCCTTCTCTTCCCACCTCTCCTCTGCCTGGCCAACTCCTACCCCATCTGCTAGCTCCCTCTGTAAAGCCTGCCCCTTCCTCTACACTCCACCTACTGTGTGCTGGTTCACACAGTCAGATTCCATTCCTACCTCTGTGACAGCCCTCCCCACACTGCATTATGTTTCCTCTGTCACCCTACTAGGTGACAGTGTCCTTATTTTTGTATCCAGCAGCTAGAACACTACCTAGCACATGGTAGCTGCATGGGAAATACTTGCTCCAATTATGTTGAAAAGGATAAAATGGTGTGCCTTACAAAAGAAATCGCAAAATAATTTAAAATCAAATAAGCCCATGCTTTGCTACCATCAATTAAGACTCAGCAGGTTGCATACAATTTTAATTAGGATAAATAGAGATCTTTCTCTTCTTTCAATTCATCTTAGAAATTCAATATTTTAGTTTGTCCCAAATCAATTTTTCTCGCCTCCTACAGCACTGCTTTAACATTTCATTGTTCTGAACTCCTCTTTGACATTTTCATAGTGACAGCTGGTTCTCTCACCTGCGGAGAAGGAGAGCAATATTGTGGATCTAGAATTGTTTTCCTAGTAGGTAGCTTAGCCATCGATTCTGGATAGTGGGGCCTGTGACTTCCAGAAGGGTGGTTCTCCCAACTGAGAAATCTGGATGTGCTATTTGTAGAAGAGTGTGCGTGTGTGTGCATGTTCCAGTGTGCATGTGCACGTGTGCATGTGCGCACACCTGCGTGCGCTGGAGGACTGAGGTGGGAGGGAGCAAGGAAGGCCATGTGTACTGTGAGGTCGACCGTTCAGAGCACGCGCATCTGAGTCTCTCCTGGCCAGGTCTCCCCTGACTCTCCCTGGATAAGCTGAACAGACTAAAGGTCTGTGGGAGCCTCCTTGGGTCATCTGTAAAACAAGGAGGGTCAGACCCATGCACCTGCTGCCTAGACATTCACGAGAAGCCTATCAATGTGACTCTACACTCATCTCTTTATGTTGTTTTTGTTTTTCCACAGAGGTCTCCTTGCTAGCGGTTTCACGGAAACTCATTACCTGCAAGATGGCACTGATGTCTCCCTTGTTCGAAATTACACGGTAAGTCCTACATGTTTGAACCACCATGATACTATGATATCAAATCCTTGTTAAACTTCGTAGCTGCTTTGTCCTAAGCAAAGTCACATGCCCAGATCCTTCACTCGGGCCCCCAGAAGAGCGTGTGCGTCACTTAGTGCATAGATGTTCCATTCTAACTCCAGGGAAATTTGGCTTTGGCCAGGTATGGGCCCGGACAGTCCAGGATGACTTTTACTGGTTTTATGTGCCGGTAAAGCCAGAGGTACGGTTTTACGGCAGGCTCACCTGGAAACCACCTGCCAATGACAGCGGGATGCTCAGTTGCGAAAATCCCTTCTAGAAAACCTAGGCAAAGTTAGAGATGGCTCAGAAGGCAGTCATCCCTGGGCTGAATGTTGCTGCATTAAACTTGGAAATACCTTAAAGAAACTCAAAGGAAAAGGGACTCTGCTTAACCTACTTGTTATAGATGCTCCACCATGTTGATATGATTCTATAACATAGTTGTTACTATCATGTAATATTTGTCACCTCTTAGCTTTTCTGGTATTTAATGTTTTGTATGTGACTTGGAACACATGCTTAATTTTATTTGTTCCTTTAACAAATACTTGCTGTGCATTCTCTGTGCTCGGCCTCCCGTGTGAATATGGGGCTTCAAAGAAAGTTTCTGCCCTCTGAGGTTTAGGAAGGTTACTTGTCTTAAAGAGCCATGGGTATTTGTTTTCAAAAGAATAAGCAGGCAGGCCCGGTGGCGCAGCAGTTATGTGCACACGTTCCGCTTCTCAGCAGGCCAGGGTTCACCAGTTCGGATCCCGGGTGCGGACATGGCACCGCTTTGCAAAAGCCATGCTGTGGTAGGCGTCCCACATATAAAGTAGAGGAAGATGAGCACGGATGTTAGCTCAGGGCCAGTCTCCCTCAGCAAAAAGAGGAGGATTGGCAGTAGTTAGCTCAGGGTTAGTCTTCCTTAAAAGAAAAAAAAAGAAAAAAGAATAAGCTTATTTAGAGGTAGGCTTTACATTCATAACTGAAGTGTTGTCGAGCAGCTATTACCATCTGCCACGCTTTCTCACTTGTCTGCGTTATGCCAACTCTTGTTTGTTAATGCCTGGGCAAGTTTGAAAGAGTCAGAGAAATCCCTAGGAGGCAGAACAAGGAGGGATGGAAGCCCAGAGCAATAGGCTGGGGGCTTGTGGTCATGGGGCCCCAAACGGCAATTCAGGGCCCAGAGAGAGGACCTGGTACTTGGGGTTTGGGACAAGAGAAGGTGGGTGTCTATGATTGAGAATCCCATAAAAGCTGGGCCCCCAGAGAAATGTTTCTTCTGTGAAAAAGGACAAGAAAAACTTCAGTCCAGAGAAGGGGCAACAGAGAGAATTGTGTCCAGGTGTCTTGGCTTGAAGAAAGATTTCATAAAAAAATAGAGAAATTGAAACCCCAGATAACCTCATAAGTGTATGTGTGGAAAGGGGTAGACTGGTGTCCAAATTTCTAATTCGAGCATAGGCATAGAATTCCCAGTAAATACATGAACCTCAAAACTGGTCCCAAATCAGCAACCCTGGGTCCCTGAAATTGAAGCCAACTCCAGATTTTTCTATAGGGATATTTCTACAGCCCAGATTACATGAGATGCCCACATAACCAAGAACAGAGAATAATAAAATATTAAAGATGAAGTCAAAATTACAAAACACACAATGATAAAAGCCACTGTGAGCAAGCATCAGTGGGCAAGAGAAACAACAGAATTAGCACCTCCAGGAATGCAACATAATAGAAAAGTCAGAGAAAAAATTTAAATATTTTAAAGAGAACAGAATAGGCTTAATAGAAATTCCAGAGTAAAGATACAGAAAAAAATTAGGAAAAAAGCAATGTTTAAACAGAGTATGATGAGAATGTCTCCCAGTTGAAGAAAGACATAAGTTCCAAGGAAGAAGAATGAAAATGAACCCACTCCAGGATGGCTGGTAGCGAGACTGCAGGACCAAAGATGGAATCCTAAAACCACTCGAGAGGAAAAAAAGATTTGTACAAAATGACAATTGAACTGACAACAGACTTCTTATTAGCAACTATAGAATTAAAACTTCAGAGAGCTGAGGGAAAAGTATTGTCAACCTCCGTTCTATACTCAATTAAATTATCTTACAAAAATAAGGGTGAAATTCATTTTCAAAGACGCAAAGACAAGAGAATTTACTATTCTCAGATTCTAACAATATCTATCAAAGAAAAACTACCAAAGAAAATCTTAGTAAGAAGAAAATTGGACACAAGAGTCGAGGGAAGGATGTCAGAGGCAATAGGAAGAAAAGTAATTGCATGTGAATAAATCTAAAAAGGCTACTTAAAATAATAATTATAACAATAATGACTAAATTTGGATGTTTTAAAACCAGGCAGCAAATAGGTTTAAAGCAGTTTAAGAATTTGTATTGTACTAAGAATAATAAAGATGCTGATTAACTTTAGAGCTTGATAAGAAAGTATGTATCTTGCAAATTAGTATAACCGTTAAAAGAATAGAAAAACAGAATGTATAATTCCAAACGATAGAGGATGGACAAAAATAGTGTAGCAAACCAGTAAAAGACAGGAAAGAAGGAAAAGAATTTAAAAAGAAGCAGAATAAATATAAACACAAAATAATATGATAACAATGAGTCAACATATTAATCTAATTATATGTAAATAGACTGAATCTGTTTGTTAAAGTAGGAACAGATTATCTACTTAGAACTTAAAATATAATCCAGCTGCATAATTTTTACAAGATTCACACTCAAAATACAAAATGGTTGGGGCTGGCCCCGTGGCCGAGTGGTTAAGTTCGCGCACTCCGCTGCAGGCGGCCCAGTGTTTCGTCAGTTTGAGTCCTGGGCGTGGACATGGCACTGCTCATCAAACCACGCTGAGGCGGCGTCCCACATGCCACAACTAGAAGGACCCACAACGAAGAATATACAACTACGTACCCAGGGGCTTTGGGGACAAAGAGGAAAAAAAAAAATACAAAATGGTTGTAAAAGAAATAGAAAAAGATATAGTAGACAAATCTTACCCAAAGAAAGTTGCCACAGTAGTATTAACATCAGACAAGCTAGATCTTAGGGCCAAAAAGGGCATTATTAGGGATGAAGGGGGTGATCTCTTAATGATAAAAGGAATAATTCAAAAGGATGGTGAATGAATTGTGAACATCTATGTGCCAGTAAAATAGTCTCAAAACTAAAATAATCAAAATAATTGCCACGAGGAATTCACAAATCCACAACCAGAGAGGGAGATTTTAATATACCTCTCTCAGAAATGAAGATTTTTTAAAATGAGCAGAAATTAATGAGAAGGAAGACAAAAAAATTGAGAGAATCAATTAAACCAAAAGCTGGTTCTTTGAAAATATTAATGAAAGGAACAAAACACGAACCAAGAAAAGAAGGAAGAATTCCTAAGAAAACAATATTAGGAACACAAAGAGGGTTGTAACTATTGCTGTACAGAGATTTTTAAAATCACGAAAATGTCGTGAACAATGCTAACCGTTTTCTTAAAAATGTGAATTCCTAACGCTAGTTCAAGGTGAAATAGAAAAATTTAAATATAACTATATAAAGAAATTAAATCAATAATAATATTTTTTAAATCCACCCCCCAAAATAGCATCAAACCTAAATGATTTTATCAGGTGAATTTTATAAAACCTATAAAGAACAAATAGTTCCTGAGAATTAAAAAGAAAAAAATATATATTTAAAGGGAGGAGAGAGCAACTACCAAAATCAGAAAAAGAGCAGCCACAAAATGAATATTATAGACTAGTTTCAATTATGAACATAGTTGCAAAAATCCTGTAAAATAGTTACAAATATATCCAGCACATATTTTAAAAAATACTTTTTGACCAAATGGTACTTATCTGAGAATGCAAAGATGGTTCAACGTTAGTATGTCTATAATGTAATTCAATGTATTCATGTGTTCAGATGAAAAGTGTTATTATAATTGGTACTACTTCTTCAAATCTACTCCATATTATTTATTATGTAGATGAGAAGACTCTTGTGGGTGGGAAATGTTTCTCGTATCTCCTTTCTGCCCCCATAGAGCCTCACCCAGCATCTTGCATACTCTACATTTTCAAAAAATGATTCATTTAGCCATTGCAGCATCTTAGGTGATGCCACACAGAATCCATTCATTCATTTTTTCATTCACTCAGCAAACATTTATTAACCACCTTTTGTGTGAAGGCCGTTAGGCTATGAAGATGCAGGCTGAATAAAATATACTCCTTGGCATATAAATTCTACTACTAGAGAGGTGGGGCACTTAAAAAACATAAAAACAATTATGTTTTAATATAATTGCTACAATAAAAGGTATATACAAAATACCATTGGAACATTGTAGAGGCCGTGGTTAGTTTTAACTCGTTGGTGGCCATTCCACTAAGACAATGATATTTAATCGTGGTCTTTAAAAATGGGTAAAGAAGGGAACAGTTGGTATGAACCCTTTGGTACTAAAGAGTTTTGACTTTATCTTACTCAAACATGGAAGCCTTAGAAAGTTTATGTGCAGAGGAAGGGCATGTTTAGTTCTGTGCTTTCGAAGGGGTCTCTGATGGCAGAATAGAAGATGGATTGGTAGGAATACTGGTAGAGAGAAGGTGAGAAGATTTGGTAGAGGCCTAATGTCATTGATGAAGGTTTTGCCTGCCGAAGTAGACCTTGCAATGGATGGAACTGGCCAAATTCAAGAGAGCTTGAGGAGGCAGAAGAGACAGGATCCGGTGACAGTGGATGAGCATTGTCACCAGCAGTGCTCTCCCTTCTGGTTAGGCTGGTCGTTGGGCGGTTTGTTTCTCACTGGCACCATTAAGGAGCAGTCTTGGTTTTGAAAGACAGAGGCGATGAGTACAGGTTTGTCCCTGTTGAGTTTGTGGTGGATCAGCCAAGCAAAGGTGTTCAGTAGGCGTTGGAGACGTGGCTCTGCAGTAGAGGAGAAAG